TTTTGGCTTTGAGGTTATGTCATATAAAAAGGAGCTAGGTTTTCATGACCTAATATATTATGAATTGCAAAGATGGAATAAAGAAATATTATTTTCCAGATTATTGAGTAATCAAGATATTTATTTCTCTTTCAGGCATTCAAAATGCTTAAGAAAATTGTTTCTGCCAGCATTTCAGTACTACATTCATGGCAGAGACCAGCTCTCTTCGCCATGGGTTATTCACTGACAATCCACCAACAAAGGTTTTGGTGTAGTTCAGATAACTATGATGACCTGGGTAAATATATGAGCCAAGAGGAAGTCTTCGATACAGATACAGTTGCTGAAGCCGAGGTAATGTATTTTACAAATGAACCGAAGAAATTAGAGCAGAGGAAATTGCCGGGAAAGGATGGCATTAGGCCAGTTAAGTATTCATTGGCTGCTACAAATAAGATGTTATTTGGGCCTCTCCTCGAAACAAAAGTAGAGAAGAGGCGTAGGCTGAAAAGAGAAGAGAAAGGCATCAGTGAAGAGGAGTATCAAGAAAAACAGAAAAAGAAAAAAAAGGGTAAAAAGGAAAAGCAATCAAGAACTAAGAAGAAAGAAGTTGATCCTCTGATAAGTAGACCAGAAAATGCTCATTATTATGGTGGTGTTAGTGAAGATGGTCTTATGTCTGAAGCTGATACCTCACGTCTTCCACATGAAATTCTCGCAGATGACTTCCAAGTTAGGGATGATACTGCTTACTCTAATGATAGTGATAAGTTGTTTTCTATTAAAAAATTGCCCAAGTATAGTTATAGATTTAGTTACGATGTCCAGGGTGGTCATACGAAAAGTAGAACAAAAAAGATAATCATAATTCAGGGACAAGACTTAAAGGCAAGTGCAGAAACTCACATGGAGGATGAGGAAAATGGCATAAAAGAAACAGAAAAACAAACATTAGAAAGTATAAACATAGATACCAGTAATACATCATCGGGAGTAAGCAGTTCAACCCTTGTGACTATTGATAATTCTACATTCACTGCAGTGCCTAGCATTTTGGATATAGGAGAAATACAAAGCTTCCCCTTGTTTAGCAGTGATATCCGTCCCTATGAGCCACAGGTAGACTCGTCTCTGGAGGCCATAACGACAATTGGGATGTTCGACGGGGGTTATCAGAAACTTCCAAGTGTCAGAAAGATCTTGGATGCAACAATGCCCTTGCCAAATAGAATAGCACTAGAGAAGTGGAAGGCCAAGATGATTAAGGAACTTGGAGAAGAGGGCTTTAATAAGTATAGGCAAGGTATGCTTAGCATCCTCTTTTTTGTTTCATCAGTATCTGATTTGAAGAACACAAGTAAAAGCATGTATACAGGGGAGAATGTATTTAATATTATTACTGCATAAAGGCATCAAATTTTTGTTGATAAGCTCTGTATAAATACATACATACATATGATACATGTAGGAAAGATTTCCAGGTTTTTCATTATTGTTCAAGTTAAACATTTTAAATTTATTTTGCCATTCATGCAAGAGATATGGATACACATTGATATTTTGACCTTTTTCTCTCCCAAAAAGAGTTACTGGATCGAGGGAAACTGCTTCATGGGTGTATCCAGTCAGAGCTAAGTGGCGTGACACTGAGTTCAGATCAGACACTTGCAGTTTCCGGATTCTGGACAAGTGTCAGACATGTTATTCCAAATGTGTCAGATGTTCAAGTGTTGGAGAGTCGTATCATTCACCCCTATCTTTACTATCAGGGAGCTGTGGATTGTGTTGGTTCTTACAAGTAAGTAGTGCACTTAAAAATACATGCATACACCTACACACCTACACATGAAAACACATGCACACACCTACACATGAGAACACATGCTCACCTACACACAAAAACACATGTACATACTTCTGCACAAAAACACCTACATGCACACTTGCTTATGAATGAACATATGCAGTCATCCACACATGTCCCTACAACTACGTAAGAAATCACAAATAGATATACTTACATAACATATTCTTTCTATACTATTTCAGGGGTATGCCCATACTCATAGAATGGAAGACCTCAGGAAAACCAAAGTTATCAGTGAAATCCATGTTTGATGACCCCCTTCAAGTTGTAGCCTACCTCGGTGCTCTAAACTTTGATGGCAACTACAAGCTGCGGCAGCCGGTAAGGTTCTTTGTGAGCTTATTTTAGTGAATTTCAGAACTTTGTGATGGCTTGGCATGATGCACATGCTATGTCTACTGTTTTTTTTTTTTTTTTATTATTTTTACACATAGATGATTCCACAGGTACTTAGGTACAAAGTCATTTACTAGTCCTACCTATCTCCCAAGATTTTTGGAAAGATTGCTTTTTATTTTTTATTGCAATTACCATTTTGATAACATTATGATTATCATAATGTCAATAATAATAACAACAGTTTCTGTATTAATAGCATTAGAAAATAAAATCAAGCAAAATCTTATTAAGCCTTCTAATTGATTCTTTGTTAGCTGAGCACATGTGTAAAAAAGCTTGGTATCAGCACCATGCACTTTTGTGAGTACTCATACCACATTCCCTATGTCAGTCAGTCAGTCATATTATATTGCATACCTCTAGGTGAGGTGTGCCTTACTGAAAATATTTCACTGTTAATAGATTTAACTAAATGAGTCTAAATAAATTAAACAGTGAAAAATAGTTTTAAGTCTTTTAAGTCACCGATTTTAAAAACTTTTTCATATATAACCACTTTTGTGCAGTTCATCAAGTAACAGATACAATTTCTCAATTTCAGATTGAGTCAGCCATGTTAGTTGTGGCATATGACACGGGATTACCGGCACATATTCACATCCTTAACAAAAATGATTGTGAACATTATTGGCAATTGTGGTGCACACGGCTTTCACAGTTCTGGAGCCAGCTGGCGGCTAATCCTGCATGATGTAGAGAAAATCAGAGTTCGTAACTGCAAGTGTCGTCAGATGAATATAAGTGTAAATTTGATCATTGTGATAATGGCATTATGTTTTCTGTAGTGTTTTTCATTATTTATTTTAGAATACATAAACTGAAATGTAAAACTGATTTTTTAAATTTCATTATTTCTTACCTTTAGTAGTAACATTCAAGAAAATATCTGTTGTTTTTTGTATTATTATTATGTCATATCAGACCATCTGGTGCAAGAGGGTTAGATGTTAATGATTGGAACAAATAAATGTGCTAGACATCAGTGGTCATATAGCACTATGGTAAAGTATTGTGGTGAAGAGGGTAAAAATGAGTTAACAATTAGGATAAAATATGTTAGAAGACAAACTTAGTGTGCTGTGGGATAGTATGGTAGTGAAAAGGGTAAAGAGGGGGAGCAAATGGAGTAAAGATTAGTATTAGGATTAGTAGAGGGTGGAAGGGGTTAAGGTGTTGTTCGATTAGGTCAAATGGAGAGTATCTATGTGTCTGAGGAAGGAAGAGGAACATTGTATGACTGGCTAATGGTTAAAACAAATAAGTTTGAATAGCACTATCATAAAGTATTGTTGCAAAAAGGGTAAAAATGAGTTAACGATTAGGATAAGTGGACAGAAAGGGATGAAGAGAAGGAAAACGAAAGGAGGAGAAGAAAAGACCATGCAAAATTAGTTGAGGTGAGGGCTGAGGTCCAAGGTAGGGGCAGTCCCTCACATTGGGCTCCAGTCCTCATCTCCTAAGTGCTCCCATTACAACAATAAGCAAGGGACTGGGAGGACATTGTATGAAAAACTCTTCAAAATAGCTATTATGATGCAGTTAGTGGGTAATAAAGATAGAAATGGGTATTGGAATGAGATAAAGGAACAGGAGAAGCATCATGGAATGTCAGAAGGGGGAGGTTCCGGAGAAAGAGACTGTTGTGACAAAAGGGTCATGTGGGCAGCCAGGTGGGAGTTGGAAGGATGATGGGGATAGGAGAATGGATGGAACACATGGAGAAGGGGAGGATGGGGTGTGTTGGGAGAGGGTGGGATGGAGAGGAGTATGCAGAACTTGAGGAGGAAGAGGATGGATATTAGCAATTACTTTGAATGTAGAGGGAATGGGAATAGAGAGAAATGAGGGTGGATGAAAGAGGAGTGTTGTGTTGGGATAAAATAAATATTGCCACTTTGTTTTATTTTTGTTATCATGACTGTCCTCTAGTAATGCTTTTTATTGATCATATAATGTTTAGTATTAGTATGATTCCTCATTTGAAGATACTGTAATGTTTTTTTAACCCAATGGCGCCGGGTGTACAAAAGAAAAATAAAACTCTACGCTTAAACAAAGGCGGCGCGCCGACTTTGAACGCGTGAGTAGGGGACATCAGCCCGAATCACTGGCTCACCGCCGGCTCGTTCGGCTGCACACCAGCTTTCGAGCTCTTTGTGTACACGCCGATCGGCGTCACCCAGCACCAAGGGGTTAAATGCATAGAAAATAGATAATCTTGAAAAAGATAAAAAAAAAAAAAAAAAAAAAAAGCATGTGTGACTTTCCCTCCCACCCATATCTTTCAAATAAGTGCCAGCATATTTTTGAAAATTCACCTAATACCAACAACTGTAGAAACTGTATGTATGTATTTTCCAATGAGGATCACACATTATTTTATATTTACAAATATCTGACATAACTCAATGGTAACCCTGTAGAATGTACATGCTTGAATAGCTAAAATGATGATACTGTTAAGAAAAGAATCCAATGGCTCATTTATATCCTTTATTCTGAGGATACAAACTTATATAAAATATTTTACATCACAAAGCAATATGATCACATACAAGAATGTCAAAAAACAGTTTAGTGGAAAAAAGGTAATGGTAATAACATACAATGTACTGTGAAATTTATTATGATAATCTCTCTCTGATGATGAAAGACAATGTTCCTGTAATATAATCATACTTCATAATAATTACTTAGTATGTGTAAATGTTATTATGCAAAAATCAAAATAAATTGTAAGTTTGCTGTGTTCTTTGGGCATTTTTTGAATAACATGTATTTTTCATGGGAAAATTCTAGTTTATAGTGGTTAAATATTGCTTCCAGTTTGTTAAGATTAATGTTAAATACTGATTTTCTCAAAAGTAACACTTAATTCTTGCATTACCTTCCTACAATGAGAGAACTGAAAAAGTAAATACCACCTCTCAATAATACTGAAATATGTGTGTGTGTTTGTGTGTGCACACAAGCGCACGTGAAGTAATCAATAACATTTCTATACTTATCCATTACAACTTATAGAAATAAAGATATTATGTGAAGCATGTAATATCATACTGCATCATGATTTAAATTTGCAACTCAAAGACATCTTTACTGGAGAGGCTTCTTAAATATTTCAGAATTTTATCCTATTCTTCACTATGAATAAGAAGTACTATGCTCTCTGCTACTTGGGAAAAATATTTACATATCAAGAACACTTGGAAAATGAATACATAAATCTTATATTAGATATAAAAACAAAATACTTCAAGCATGCATTACAGAGATAACTGCAATACAAAAGAGCAACATGAAGAATAAGCAATGCCATGAATAAAATCCATCTCTAACCACTGTTAATCTTAGCTTGTACTTTGCTGACTTTTCCAACACTCGCTACCAGGCATTCTTTTGGAGGATTACCTACAACTAGAAGTGCAGACGTACCTATACTCTGGCATTCATGCACGCTTTATAATTCACCTCGTACCATAGTTTCCAGGAAATGGTGGCAGTTTCATTACACAGAATTACCTAATTTGAAGTCTTATTCTGACTTATAGAAATTAAGATGGAAGAATGTAATTTATACATCTGAATCCTGTTGCACTTCTTTTGGGTGTGGAATATCACCTATGTTAAATCAGAATCATCAATGACTGATACTGCACAGACACCAAATGCTTAAGGAACTACTAACATGTATCGTTCAGAAAAAAAAAGAAGAAAAAAAAAAAAAAGGATGTTCTTTGGAATAACAATTTACACTGCTTATACAAAGGAGATAAGATAGCTTATTTTCAAGCTACTGCAGTCTTATGCAGCCTTGGTAGGTGCTACTGGACAATGGGCCCAGTGGCCAGTGCAAATACAGTTGGAGGCCCACTGTTGCTCCCATACGGTCTCTCCTTCTCCCCACCAACTCCCACGCACACTGCAGCACCTGAAATTTAGAAGCTGTTGGTCATTTTCTGCGAAATGAATATGATATCCCCAAATCTATTTACATATCCTGCTCCTATCCACTTGTTACTTAGGGAGTCTTTTTGAATATAAAATTAAATTACATTTGTAGATACTTTTGTTACTATATTTTCTTGTACAAATTAATGAATAACTAATTATAAAACCATATTTTTTAGTGTCTGTTTAACCAGCTTCACAAAAAAAGTTATGTATCTGAGGCACAGGCACAGGTTTTTTAATTCACATCTACGACCACCTTGGTCTCGAAGCGCAAGGAGTTTTGCACCCTGGCTGCCCATCACACAGGCTAAGAAGAAAATAAACACCCCTAAGAGCATCAACCAAAACTGACCTGGTACAGCTAAATTTTGGTTCCTGTGCAGCGAGGTAGTGGTAGTGGAGAGGGTCAAGCTGCTGTAGAGGTGGCAATGCTCCCTCCAGAATGCAAGCCTGAGTACCGTTGTTGGTTACGTGATTGCCTTCACTTTGCCCAAACTCATACTGTAATATTGAACAAATCAATCAGGCTTCACATCAACTGAATAGAATAAAATGAATATTAACAAGTGCTTGGGGATCATACCTATGGCCACCCAACTATGAAAGCTTTCTTTGATTAATAAGGTTCTTGTTCACTAACCTACCGGAAAGAAGGAACAGGTGGACAGAAAGAGAAAAAAAGAAAAAGATCACACACACACACACACACACACACACACACACACACACACACACACACACACACACACACACACAGAGAGAGAGAGAGAGAGAGAGAGAGAGAGAGAGAGAGAGAGAGAGAGAGAGAGAGAGAGAGAGAGAGAGAGAGAGAGAGAGAGAGATTTTTATCTTACTGAGATTGGTGTTGCAGCTGATGAGGCCATATCTGCTATCACACCCCTTGGGGGGATATGAAGAGGCAATTCTCGGCACACTACTTGAGTTTCCAACAAAAGACACTCATCTGCCAATGAAATGATTATATAAACCAATAATAAAAGAGATAGTAGCAAGATAATTTGAAATCTAAATTTAAAAAGTACTCATCATATACATATATATCAATATCAGATTAATATGGTTGAAAAGATATTTAGAGAAAGAAATACATTTCATTAATGCTTACATTGTATACACAGTTTTCAGTCTTTTTCTTTAATAGGTTCACTACAATCATTGTTTCACACACACCAAGAATGTCTTGTACCACATGTTAACACAAAATTATGCAAAGCTTTTATTTATTTATAGGATATTCACTGTCTGTATCAGAGTTCACTTGTAAAACTAACAATAAA